TCAGGTTTATTCTTAGTTACTGATACATAATTGTAATGGACCCTTCCGTTAATGGACGCTTCCTAGCTTGCGCCGAGGACCACAAGCACACCACAGCCACCGCAGACTCCACAACCGCCGTAGCTTAGCTGGAGCCTCGCCGTCTTCCGTCCACCCTGGATCAGCTTCTGTCCTCCAGGACCGTGTGGGGAAGACCTCTCCTCCAGGAGAGCGTATCAGGAACAAGCTCTTAAAAGAGCTAAGTGATTAAAGCTCAGGGGAGTATGCAGAGCATAGCAATCCCCAGTGTGATGATAGCAGCTCCCTCCGATAACGAGACAAGGCTACGTATTGAGGGTGAAACAGGATCTGAGGATTAATGACAGACACTCTGCTTTTATGCAATTCTCCCCTGCAAGGGAGACGCCCACGGACAATTATACAACACCCAATCACACAATGGTTACATCCCACACATCTCCTCCCCTTAGCCTGAGAGGTAACCCAATTATCCGTACCTTTTAAAACAAACATTTTACCCAACTTTCATAACTCTAAAACTATACATCCAATATTAATAAAAGTCACATATTATTAATCAGCACATTTCAAATACAAACATACCCAAAAATCATTTGAATCCGTTCAGGAGATTCATATGTCACTTTTGACCGACCGCAGGCACATTTTCATGCCCAAAACAGTTCCATGGATTTGGGCTGTGCGGTCGGTCTATTTTACACCAAGAAAATAACCAAGTCCCATTCGAACGAGCGTTCGAATCTTCGAACGGAACTTAGTCTCCAGCCGCAGTGTAGAATTAGAGTAGAACGTATGTGTCAGCGGTGTTCGTGCAATTGGGTAGCCGAAAACAGTTCCATAGATATGGCTGCACATACCGCTGGCCACGTGTTCGGTATTCGAAAGGCAGCCACTTCGACAACTTCAACTGCTTCGACAGCATTCGAAGTGCCAGTTTAAAAGTACAAATCCTTTCTCTGCCCACATCAGTTCCTAGAAGGGCAATACATCCTAGGGCCATAGTTGCAGGGCAGGAGGCAGGCAAGCAGGCCTCTCCAGGACAAAGTGGTGAAGGGCACTTCGTCACAATAATAAAACAACAAAGGATGTTACAGGATAATGGATTTCAACAGCAGATGGTAATTGCTGGACTCCTGAAGGGAGAGTTACATCGTTGTACAGGAAAGAGAGCCAAGAGACCTTGTGTCCATTTGCTCAGTTACTATATAGATGTGCCCATACTGACGTCAGACTATAACTCTTGCCATATAAAGACAAAACCCCAACTTACATTCCAGAGCTCTCAAACAAATAAAGCCTTGTGACTTAGACCATCTGTCACTTATGTCAATCCGGACATCCATACATAATCAATAGAAACATAGAATATGCAATATTCTACAGCATATCTGTGCTTGTGTGTGAGTATATGATTGTACATGCAAATGTATATGCGTTTAATAGAAAACTCCCTAATTTAGTATCCTTAAATATGGCAATCCCACAGAAGGAAAACAAAGAAGGACTTTTCTTAATTTTGATTGTTCTACTCTCTAGTAGATAGCTCCTTAAATTGGTACCTTATGTAAATAGGAGAGTTATCTGCTAAACAGTTGAAAGCAGCAGATGTAACTAGGTGCCACTAGCCAGCCCAGAGCAAAAATTCCGAATGGTAAATGTGAATTATGTGCAAATTTCATGCCTGATACCAGAACACACTGTATGCCACCCCTAAATTATTAGTGTTCCTCCACTTTTGTATCTTATTTGCCCTGGTATATATTGCTCCTAGAGTCACCTCTGGTATTACCATACCTGGTCGTTTGTTATCTGCAAATACCAAGACGTGGCTTGATATGCCCACTCCATTAAATAATACACAAGTAGAGTTGAGCGAACAAGAACTGCAAATTTTTTTGGACCGCTGACCCGAACACGGACATATCATTGTATGTTCGGGTTGGAGTTCGGAGTTTGGCGATTTAATGGCGCGTTTTCAAAGGCTGCAGGGTAGCCAATCAACAAGCGTTTGACTCGTGTGCCCTTAGAAGCCGACCCAGCCATGCCTACTAATGGCATGGCTGTGATTGGCCAGTGCAGCATGTGACCCAGCCTCTATATATAAGCTGGAGTCGCATAGCGCCGCACACACATGCGGTCTTGTTAGTGTAAGGAGATGATGCTGTCGCTGATAGGGACAGCTTAAGATAGAATTCTGCAAACTAGTACATTAGTGTGGTGGGGTGCACTTCATATCTGAGAGTCAAATAGAAGCTTGAAATACCGCGGTTACATCAGAGTTTTAAAAAGTAATTTTTTTTGGTGCTAAATAGTACATTAGTGGGGTGCACTTCATATCTGGGAGTCAAATAGAAGCGTCTAATAGTCCGCTTACATGGCAGTGGTAAACATTATTATTTTCTGGGTGTTAATCTGCTAAATAGTACATTTTGTGGCCTGCTCTTCATATCTAAGAGTCAAATAGTGCGCTTACTGCGCAGTTGTAAACATTCTAATTGTTTTGCTGCTAATCTGCTGCTTACATTCGAGTTTTAAAAAGTAAATTTAAAAAAAAAAAATTGGGGGGCGCAAAATAGTATATTTTATCATATACTATTTATCATATCTGAGAGTCAAATTGAAGCGTAACTTTGATTCGAATTTACTACATCGGTCACTTGTAATATTGTTTCACACCTACAACACTTGTTACACAGATCTAAGTGATAGAAAACAGATTCATATTTTCTACACTAGAAACTACCAGATAACAAGCTGCTATATTTAAACCAGTTATCAATAGCTAAGAGGTACTTAAACAATATTGTAATTCTGGGGCAATACCCTCACAAGTCAAACTGAGAGGTCAGTTTATAGGGAAAACTATTGCCTGGAGGAAATTCTTAAACAATTTCCATATGTCCTTTGCAGACTTTACATGCTGGAAAAACACAGGTGCCAACTGCTGTGGCTTTCTGCGGTGTGCATACCGGCAAGCAGGGCAGGGTTGAGGAGTGGATGGAAGATGATGTGGAGGACGATGAGGTCCTAGACCCCACATGGAATCAAGGTCATGCGAGCGACGTGTGCAGTTTGGAGGAAGAGGCGCTGGTCGCACAGAGACACCAGCCCAGCATAAGAGGGAGCAGGGTGCAAAAGCGGAGCTGCCGTCCCATAGCACTCGTCGGCATGTATTAGCTCGAGAATTACCAGTTATCCAAGTAACAGATGGAGTGATCAAAGCATCCATAATAGAGTTGAATGAACCCAAAATGCAAAGTTTGGGTTCGTACCAGATTTAACAATCCATTCGTAGTTTCACAGTCAGGTGGGCAGTCCGGTGACCAGGACCCAGACATTGTCTGGTTGGCAGTCGGACAACCAGGACCCAGTATGCCTGAAGTTAGGAGTCACAGCGTGGAATAGATTATCAGGGTCTGGTGCAGGGTATCAGGGTGTTGAGCACCAGCGTTTGTGTGGCCTCTGATGCAGCTTCAGTAAAAAGAGTAATGGATTCCAGAAGCCATCACCAGACTGATCCGCAACTTGGAACAGGATGTGACATTCACTGTAGCGGCTGTGCGCACTTTTGGGCGTTGTCACCCTGCTGCTACTCGCCTGTCTGCGCTGCAGTGTAACTACGGCCTTCCCGCTCACCGCCTCATGAGACTGTGCGAGCAGCAGCAGGCGATAGTGGAGTTTCAGCTGCAGGACGCATGGGTCAGTGGCTCTGCACCAGTCTTCCCTCCAATTGATCAGAGTTAAAGGATTTCAAGTGGACTCATTACAATTACAGGGCCTCTAAAGTGTCCTGTATTGTTATTTGTCGTCACTACCTTCCCGCGTCGGGAGTGGGTAATTTGCCCGCCTGCTGCCTTCCTTGCATGTGGTAGCCATTTCTCAGGGTCCCTGTAAGGAAAGGAACCCTTATTCCCTGTTACTCTTGGTCACCATGGTAGGCGCAGAAACTGTCATTGAAAGTTGATATGGATGACATCCGCATGCAAAGTCGCCGCTATGGGGATGTGCGATTGGCCCGATGTTTTCTAGAGTCAACAAAGTGCCTGCGCAACTATAATGTCAACAGCTACTCTGCGGAACAGAGTTGTCTTTTTTATATGTCCCAATATTTTGGGGGCTACCCCAATTAAAAGAAATATAAAAAAAAAATAAAAAAAATATATATATATATATATATATATATATATATATATATATATATATATATATATATATATATATATATATATATATATATATATATATATAAAAAACAGTGTTGGCTACCTCATCCTCCTCCTCCACCGCCTCGGTCACTGCCTCCTCAACCTGTGGGTCACTTAGTATAAACTAGGTACACATTAGCAGAGGCTTGTGGAGGCCTTTTCTCCATGCATCAGGAGTTGAGCATTTCTCCATGCATCAGGACTGCAAGAAATGCACCGCAGACCGCAAATGTTTCTTTATTTGTATGTCCCAGTATTTTGTGGGCTACCACAATAAAAAAAAAACATAAAATACAGTGTTGGCTACCTCATCCTCCTCCTCCACCGCTGCTTCATCCTCCACTGTCACGGTCATCGCCTCCTCAACCTATGGGTCACTTAGTATAAACTAGGTACACATTAGCAGAGGCTTGTTGTAACGGACAGTTTTGCACACAAGGGGTAAAAACCGTTTAGGCGATCGGCCCCCTTTCCAGAGATACAGGCACAGCTACTGCAGAACATCAAACTCCCAAACTGGATACAAAATAGCACTCCAACTCCCGAACTGGAACCTCCCAAATAGCTGCTAGCAGACGAACAGGAAAAGCAGACAATCAGCTTACACTCCTGGCAATCAGTCTCTAACAGCATACAGTGAATCCCCCCAAGAACGAGACAAGGCTCTGTGTTGAGGGTCAAGCAGTGGTCTGAGGTGCTGGCACACCCAGCCTGGTTTTTATTACAGTCTTGCAAATACAGGACCGCCCACAGGGAGGTATAAAACAACCAATCACATCACAGTTACATCCCACATATTCCCTCCCCTTATCCTGAGAGGAAACTCAATTATACATACAGTTAAAATATACTTTCTACCCAACTTTCATAACTCTAAAACCATACATCACATTCACATAAAATTACATATTCACAATCAATCCATTCAGGGGAACAACATATTAAAAAATGGCATGTATCAGACCAGGGGTTCAAAAGTTAAGGGAAAGTCCTTCGTGACTAAATGAAGCATGGCTTTCTGGCCCAAACCAGTTTCAGAGTCTTCTATCCTGGAGAGTAATTCAATTATCTCCCAGGACAGACACAAGACTCCAAAAGACACAAAACACTTTAAAATACATAAAGTCACATTTATTACATAAAACACAGACATGTAACATATCCCTAGATAGCTCAGGTCCGAGCGCACATTATTAAGCGAATGGCGCTCAGACCACACGAATACAGTTTAATCGCCATGGAGCCAAAGTCTTTACAGTCAGTTTCATACGAATGGGCTCCATGGGATTCCTATCTGGGGTATAACACATTCAAACAAATCTACCGAACCCCAGGCAGAAAAGCACGAATGAATCTTTTCTGCAGGTAAAAAAAGATGTCTTTTAACAGGGGGCCATAGTCCAAAGGCAGCAGGCGAGCAACCAGGCTTCTCCAATGCAATGTGGCGAGATTGGTCTCGTCACACTTGTGAAGGCCTTTTCTCCATGCATCAGGACTGCAAGAAATGCAGGCCACAAATGTTACTTTATTTGTGTGAAGAAAATAGACTTTTAATTGACATTTTCTTCTGTGATTGGTACTTTCCCTATTTATTACCTGTATACTGAATATATTGGTTTGGTAGTTTGAAACTACCGAACGCCGACCACCCTCCTGGCTCATTAACTACAAAGGAACCAGCTATTAAGTGCTCCCTGGGCGGCCGCTGTTCGTACAGCCGAACGCCACGTGGAATAGAAAACGGTGGCCATCTTGTTTGCACGAGGGGAGTCAGCGGGACTTGGTCATCGAGTGTCTGGAACTAAAATTGGACACTCGACCTCCCGAACCACCGCTGAAACTACCAAACGCCGGCTTCTTGTACTTCCCGAACAGCCAGGGGAGCGCCATTTGGTAGTTCTGTGCGAACGGACAAGGGGAGCAATCGCTACTATGAGCCAGGAGGATCCATTCGGGACTTTGTTCATTTTTTTACCTGTTTTTCAATTGACCGACCACACATGCTGAATTTGTGGAACTGTTTTGGGCAGGAGCCGCATGTGTGGTCGGTAAAAGGGACCCTCCACACTTCTTTAGAACCGCTGAACCGATCTGGGTGAAATTTGGATATGTTGGTCTCCCAGATCAGGGGATATGTGATTTGTGGGGATACCTGGTGGGGAAAGGGGTGTTCTAAGTTTTGGGGAAATTGTGCCTGGAGATAATTGTTTTATTCCTTAACTTATCTCAATATCTCCCAGGCAGAGAGAAGGCGTGTATTACTGTAAATCTGTATGTTGATTGGCTGTTGTCTTTGTTTGCTGTGGGAGGTCCTCTTGCAGGAGGATTTCTCATAAAAGCCAGTGTGTTTTCAATAAAGATCATTCCTGTTACACCCTTCATGAAGTCTAGGCTCATGTTTGGGGGATATTCTATTTGCTGGGAAGAATCACCTTGGAACTGCATTTCATCTACCATATTCCTCTACTCCCTGCTGCAGCTATAATCACTCATGCTCAGCTGTTGGGAAACGGAGCAAAAGACTGCAGCACTATAACTACTGCAGGTCTTAACAATTTGTATGTCCCAATATTTTGTGGGCTACCACAATTACAAAAAAAAAAAAACAGTGTTGGCTACTGTGACGAGACCAATCTCGCCACATTGCATTGGAGAAGCCTGGTTGCTCGCCTGCTGCCTTTGGACTATGGCCCCCTTTTAAAAGACTTTATTTTTCCATGCAGAAAAGCCGTATTCATGCTTTTCTGCCGGTTGTTCGGTAGTTTCAATCTACCGAACAACCGTACGAATGACTGGACCACCTGGGAGCTGGACTGTGCCGGCAATTAACCTCCCTGAAGCTGCGGTTAACCGCAGCTTAATAGATGAACGCTGGGTGGCCGCCGTTCGTATCCCTAACACGAGGTCACGGCCATTTTAAACCATACGAATGAACAGCGGTGTTCGCCTCTATTTTCATGGAACTAAAATCGGACACAGTTTTGCGCGAACACCGCTGAAGCCGCCGACCTCCCTTCTTGTTCGGTGAAAGCACACGAATGACCAGGTGTTCGGTATTTTTGTGTGAATGTCTTTTACCCCAGATAGGAATCCCATGGAGCCCATTCGTATGAAACTGACTGTAAAGACTTTGGCTCCATGGCGATTGAACTGTATTCGTGTAGTCTGAGTGCCATTCACCTAATAATGTGCACTCAGACCTGAGCTATCTGGGGATGTGTTACATGCCTGTGTTTAATGTAGTAAATGTTACTTTGTGCATTTTAAAAGTATAATGCTGTTTTGTGTTCCCACGTGTGTAATGGAGTTTTGCCTTTGTCTTGGGAGATAATTGAGTTACTTCCCAATTATCTCCCAGGGCAGAGGGGAGGAAGCCAGGATGCATTGTGGGAATATACTGTGACTGTGTGTCCTTTTTGTATACTTGTCTGTCCCTTGTCACGGTCTCCCATTTGGTCCCCTAGGGGAGTGTCCACCAGGTGGGAGACCTGCATAAAAGCTGGGCAGGTAGCCCTCATTAAACAGACCACTGCTTGACCCTCAACACAGAGCCTTGTCTCGTTCTTGGGGGGATTCACTGTATGCTGTTGGAGACTGATTGCCAGGAGTGTAAGCCGCTTGGGAGCTTTTCCTGTTCGTCTGCTGGCAGCTATTTGGGAGGTTCCAGTTCGGGAGTTGGAGTGCTATTTTGTATCCAGTTCGTGAGTTTTGGTGTTTTGCAGTAGCTGTGCCTGTATCTCTGGAAAGGGGGCCGATCGCCTAAACGGTTTTTACCCCTTGTGTGCAAAACGGTCCGTTACAGCTACCTTCTCCTCCTCCTCCTCCACTGCCGCTTCCACCTACACCGCCACGGTCAACGCCTCCTCAACCTATGGGTCACTTAGTATAAAATAGGTACACATTAGCAGAGCCTTGTGAAGGCCTTTTCTCCATGCATCAGGAGTTGAGATCAGTTTGAACAATGAAAGAGAACACCCTGCACTCCAACCCTCTCTCAAATGGATAATTCTGGTGATCCTCCTGACAGCCATGCTTTAGATTTTGATTCAGGTTCTTCCAAAGCTTCCATTTAGTGCTATTTTATGACTCAGCTGTATTTTTAATTTTTATGTATTTTATGTTATTTTAAGTGATTTCCCTATCCACATTTGTTTGCAGGGCACTTGTCCTACTCTTACCCCAAAGGGAACTTGGTGATCCAGAGACTTTACATTCATCTCATGTTTTATTAAGAACGGATTTTTCTGTCTCCGGATCCCGGGTTTGTTTAACCGCCTATGTTTTAGGTTGGGGTATGGAGCTATATATACACTGAGGATTTCATATTGAGCCTTCTTATCAGATAGTATTTCTTCAAACTTTGAATAGATAGCTTAACTATCCCCACAGTAAGAGCGGTTGCATTAATTCATTTATCCACAGAGGCTGCACTTTGTGCTTTCTGCAGCAGCGTTCTGCATCACTTTTGATCATGTATATAGTGAACTGACAATCAGATTACATGTGCCTCGTTTTAAATCGTTTTGCACATAGCACTAGACCAAGGTCCCTGCAAATTTTTGAACAGGACTCTCACATTTGCATTAATAGATGCCAGTTCACTATTGTTTCAGCTTTATTTAGACAGCTTGTTACAATATCTTTCTACTAACTGTTGCAGTTATGTCACGTTGTATTCTTATTATAGATTCGTTACTATACTGAGATAAAATACCACTTTAGTAAGCCCATGTGGATTGCAAAACTTTGTTTTGCACACATCACCAGATGAAGGTTTCTGAAAACAGAACCTCATGACGATCATACACACTCCCGCGATCATCAGTTTATGTTTCTGCACTCTATAGAGTTCAGGACTTTTTACTTGATTGTACTTATTTCAATCAGTTTACCGAATTGTACATA